ATATTAAGTAGATTTAAAAACAGTGTCAAAATAAGTCATGTAGCGCACTTTGTGATTTTGTTTTCAATACCACACTGCATTGTGTGCAAAGTGTAATGAACTTCCAGCCTAGAGTGCACCAAAACACCTCAAAACCACCTCAAAAGCACAAACCCACATTCCGGAGATGAGGCAGTTGTAAAAAAAATTTGCATGACATGTTTCAGAGACAACAGAAGATGAAATAACAGGCTTGCACAGCTATCACTGATCCCTCCCCCTAACACAGGAGCCAACTGTAACAAATGTGATTCACATACCTAGAAAAACAAAAAGTCAAGCAATGAATAGTGCAGCACTCCAATTCACTGTAGAGATATTATTATCAGTACATACGCCCAATCCTCCTTATTTATATAAATACTAAGTAATAATCAAACTCTCAAAAACAGAGGCATATGCTATTCTGACAAAACATTTTAAATTATTACAGTATATCAAAGTAAAGAGCCAGAAATATTTCACAGACTTGCTGCACTCAGAGACAGAAATACTTAGGAGGTGTTATATGTAACTAAATTACAGTGGCATTTTCAGGGCCCTAGCATGAAAGTAACAGAACTGATTTGTTGGGTTGTATGTATTCTCCTTAGCTATGTCTGAGGGAGCGAGCATGCAGATTTTATCTTGATTAAACAAATAAGTCAATTTTTTTTTTCCGATTGAAATCCCCCAAAAAATTACACATTTGCAGCAGATTTTTTAAATCCTTTTTATTAGTGTGCTGTTTCAGAGGGAGAGAGCAGGCAGATATAACTTTTAAGAAATTAAAAGATTGTCTGATTAATATTATTTTAACACAGAATTTACATAGCACCAACAGTTTGCACAGCGCTTTACAACATGAAATTACTATGACTGAATACTATAAAGTTGTACAGATTTGCAACACACTTTTAAGCCTTTCTAGGTAGGCCACAGATTCTGAGGGAGAGAGCAAGAACATTGCAATCAGTAAAAAATATTTTTTTGAAGACTGAAGAACATTTTGAAAGATTTTTCACTATAGACAATAAGTCTATATGCACAAGCCTCAGTTTCAGAGTAATTGAGCAGGCATATTGCATCTGGAAATAAAAAAAATTAGAGTCTTAATTTAGAGACTGACAAAGCCAAAAGCTTAGTTTAGCACCACAGATATTGTCTGAACAGGCTACTATATGTTAGCCATACAACAAGCAGAGTGCATCTTCCAAACAAAGGGGATTCTTTTTTCCCTGGACAGAAGAGAGAAACAATATAAAAAAATGCAGGTCAACTTTTTGACAGCCCACTAGTGTTGAAGAAGAGAGCAGGCAGATTGCATCTGGAAAAAAATACATTCTATTTTTATTTAAATTTATAACAGGAAAATATGGATTATTTCAAGAGCAGGTAGATTTCAGAATTTTAAAATCAGACAGAAGATTTGCATAGACATAATATATTGTAAATATTGTACAGGTTGTCTGCAGAGAATCACATCCCTTATTAAAGGGAGAATAATTTTGAGGTAGAGATTATTTCAGTCAGAAGTTTTACCAGTTGATTTATGTGCGCAGCCTCATGGATATCTGTGCAAGCAGGTGAATAGGCATGTATGCCAGACTACAGCCTGTTTAAAGAAAGGTGATGAACCACATGATTGCTGAATAATCTTCAGCTTTTCTTTGTGAACTGTGTTTGTTCCTGTTTCCCTGTTGTGACCCTGGCTTGTTTTCTAAAGAAGATCCAATATCTAAGCATTGCTGACCTCAGCTTGCTAACTGATCATGACCTTGCTGATTACCCACTGCCTGCCCTTTGCCTGCTTCCAGAACACCTTCCTGCTTATTACCTGTTGTTGTCCTTGGCTTGTTTCCTGATCATGATCCTGCTGATTATCCATTGCCGACATCATCTGCAATGCATCAACATTTCAGAAGCAGAGAAAAGTCATATTTCAGCCAGTAATAAGCAATGAGGCTGTTCTTTTTCAAAGAAACTATACTGTAATTGTACAGATGCGCTTTTTTCAAAAGGATACAGTATTCCTAATAATTTCCATAACTTATAAATTGTACAAAGCAGCTACACAAAATCTATTCATTTTCCATATGAGGCAATTGAAGAGGAAGAGAACAAGCAGATTCTATCTTTCTTTAAAAAATAATAATAAATAAACAGATAGATTGTTTTCCTCCTGTGCAAAAGGGGGGGGGGGGGCATACAAATTACCTGACAAATAATTTTGGCCAATAAATACAGCATTAATTTTCTTAGTTAATTCAAGAGTCACACATTAAATACCCACTCAAAAATATATAAAAAGAATTGTCTTTGGGAAACAGCTGTCTGAAAACAAGTCTTTTATCAACACTGGTGCCAGCACACCATAAAGAAACACAATATTTGTTTAGATCACAGGATGTTACTTGGAAACAAATGTAAATTCATTGCAACTGTGAAACAGATGCAAAAAATTATATAACCCTACAAAATATTCAAATGAGCACAGGATGTTACCAGGCACAGAAAAAAAAAATCTTTTAAACTGAAACAGCTGTAAAAAAAAGTGGGTTTGGGGTGTAGTGGTGCTAAAACACCAAATCCTACATAAATATTAATGCAGAGCACAAGATGTTACCTGTCCAAAAAAAGTTAAATTCTGTGTGCCAAATTAAAAGAGTCGTTCCAACAATGAACAGCAATGGGCTCAGTATGAGAAACAATAGTGACAGACCTACAGTGGTGGCAGTAGATGTTAACAGTGCCAGGCCAGCAGTGGTAGAATAAGGTGTTAATGGTGGTCAGATGTGTTCATTGGGACAGGGGTTGGCAATGGTGGGAGGAGTAGCGGTTTATTTCAGGCCTGTAGTGATGAAAGGAGATGCTTAGGCTGTACAGAAAATAAACACTTTGGGTGGCAGAATCCCCCAAAAATGTATTCTGCAGCATCTGAAGCAGAGGCTTGGTAGTTCTGATCCAGGACTGGTTTAATAGGTGTCCTCTGGTAAACTGTGTCTGGGGACAGAAGGACTCATTTGTCTATCACAAAGCCCCTCAGAGCCCTAAATGTTTGTTCAAAAAGTGACTGTGTGGCATTCAAGCAGCTTGATTGCATACTGAGCAAGCTCTAGTCCAGTACGCAATAATCAAGTGGGCAGTCCATTGGAGGGATGTCAATATCTGCCCTTAACCCCATATACTCCCACACCATATAATGCAGCCACTGTTGATTGCTGCCTGCAGCAGTCAGCCCTGTGTGCTGGGTAGAGAAAATTGTTTTGAGTTATTGTGATTTGTCGTGAACAAGCCACAATTTGGTGAAAGTAGCAGAACCTGAAATGAAATGGCCAAAAACTCCTCTGGCTTGCCTCAGAAGTTCATATAAGCCAGGATACCTATTCATGAAGTACTGCACCAGCAGGTTGAGGGCATGTTGCAGGCAAACCAATGCATGTGAACTTTCTTTGCAGAAGGGCAGAGAACAGGTTGGTACTGATGTCTGACATGAATCTTACTGGCACAAGATTGAATTTGGTTATCCACCTTTGACCCTGCCCTTGCAGAGTTGACAGAACTGCCCCAGTGTGGCTCCTGTCCCAGCTGCAACACTGCAGTGCCTCTTGAATGCTTGTGGTGTACTGGTGGCCTAGAAGACAACTCACCGGAAGAGGGCAATAACAGGAGATATTGGAGGTGACTGTAAATGTCATTATGACAGCATTCCAGCTGTGTGTCATTTCCTCTATCCTTCCCAGATGACAGCAGATTTACCCAGTGAGCTGTGAAATATCTAAAATGTCCCAGCTCATACTTGCTGGACAGCAAGACTGTGATCAGGTGGACACTCCTGCTGACCGCATGATCCAGCTACATGGAAACATTACCTACTACATCATGGTGGATGGTATGAATAGCCCTCCCAAGCAAGATGTAGGTAATGTAGGACTTACTCTACTTTTAAAACAACTATGGCAAGAGCTGTACATGGGGGGACATCGCTGATTAAAGAGCACCATAATAAGGCACAGTTCTCCACTGCAAACAAAGGGCAGTTTTTGTGGTGTCACCAACAACTTCATATTGATGCTGCCCCCATCAAAAAATTAAAAACAAAATTAGATAAAATGAATCACCAAAAAATAGAGCTGAAGGACAAAAGGGTGCTAACACACAAAATCCTAAAAGGGACTGTTGGGTTCTATGAAAGCACAATGGATGCAGATAGGCTTACACTCTACTCTCCTTAGCTAAACAAACTGCAAAAGTATCAGTAGCAATATACATCAGTGAATATAGTGATGTGTATCGCACTATACAGTTGTAGTAGCACACTACACTGCCAATCATCTCTCCTTGAAGTATTGTCAGCTGTCCCTCACACTAAACTCCCACACACTGACAAATGGCTGTTGGGACAATAAATTATCTGCTGGTTCAAACCAGGTAGGCTTTATGGGTAGTTAACCTCCCTAGCAGTCTGACTATGTCAGTATTTCTGTGCTCAAAGTGGTACATTGTTTTCAATGGAAATATGTTGTTTTTTTATTGTAGGCCTGTAATTTTTAGGAATAACTCACTGAAATCTGTCCGAACAAGAGTCTAGTAAACATCCCAGGTATGATAAAATCTGAAACACGGAATCATAAATTATAATATAATAAATAATCATAAAAAACAATAATATAATAATAGTAAATTTAATTCAATAATGTAATCAAACCAAAAACACTGAAATTTGAAATAGAGTGCCAAGTTCGCACATCACTTAGCTCAGTCGGAAAATCGTTTTCAGTGTCTGATGACGAATTTCCCCACGAATCATTATCACTCAATTCTGCAAGTGGTTCTAATTTACTATCGCTGTTCTCTAGCTGGTCTAAAACTGCTTTTGACCTAAAGGGACGCTTTTTGGACGCCATGAACATTTCTCAGTTTCAAGGCAGAAAGAACAGTAAAAATGCAGGCAGGGCACAGGACAAAGCACTCGGGACAAAATGTATGTGAAATGGTTTGATATAGTAATGTAATACTAAGAGATTACAGTGTATTGAGTGAATTTCAAATTTTTAAATTTTTGAAATTCCTGCTGGTTCCATCCCCCGTACGTCCTGTATGTCCCGAAGCTCGCAGGGAATGGAACCCGGAAGACGGATGCCAGCATCGGCCGGAGGACATGGTAGGGGATGCTGCAGGGGGGACATCGCGGGACCGCAGGACAAGGTAAGTGCTCAAGGGATCCCAGAACAATGCTGCAGTGTAATCCCGAGTGTAGCTCCGGGTTACCGCTTCTGGTACTGAAAGTTAACCCCGAGCTACACTCGGGAATACCGCCAGGGGGATTAATATAGAGCAGTCAACACAGTGGTTGATATTTTCATTGCAAGTGGAGTCTTATGAGCCACATCACCTGCAGGTTTCTAACAGTTCTTAGAATATTTGGAAACAAATCTCACTACCACCGAAATCTTGTTCCTGTCCTTGCATCTTCACTACTTGGTATTTTGGGGGCAGGGGCGGACTGACCATTTGGAAACTCGGGCACTGCCCGAGGGCCCAGGGTCAGTAGGGGGCCCCATGAGATGCCCCTGGTACCTTTTGCATAGGCTTTTTTGAGTTTGGGCAAGGACATAGGGGCCCCATGATCCACTATTGCCCAGGGGCTCCATGAGTTGTCAGTCTGCCCCTGTTTGGGGGTCTCTTGTGTTGGGTAATTGCAAATTTCCGTTGCAGTTGTTGACATAGACATCGACATAGAATACAGCAGATGCACAGCCCTGGAAAAAAAAAATAGTAATTAGTACATCCATTTCTGCCCTGCAGCCAAGTCTATCCCTCCCACTTGCCAACAATTCCCAGCTATCAAAATGAAGATGGGACTTTATCTGTACAAACAGCAGCTCTAGTAGTTTCTGCTGTCAAAAAAGACTGTTTGACTCAATGTTGTTTGACTCAACATTGTCTGATGAGAAATAGAGAAGTACAAAGTAACATCATTACTGGACTTTCGGTGCTTATACCAGGATGATGCCTGCAGGCATCACCCCAGTACTTTTTTTTAAAGTTGGTGGTCGGCTTTCTTGTAATAGCAATCGGAGCTGCTACCTTGCTGCTCGCTAATTATTACAAGCACCCCCTCCTGGTGCCTTCCACAGCTTGCTCGGGCTCTCCCATCCCACCAAGAGACAACAAGCGACCAGCCAGCACATCCACCGGGTGGCTGGACAGCCGAAAAAGGCGGGATCAGCTTTTGTCGGCTCTCTGTTATAGTAAGCCAGAAGTGATGACCTGACATCACTTCCGGTTTAATTGAAAGTAAACGCCGAAATTTAAAAAAAAAATAAAAGCATTCAAAAACACCGATCTTGATGTTTTGAATGCTTTTAAGTCTTATAGACCCCAGATCTCTCCCTAAGAGCATCTGTCATGTGCCCATGGCTGTCACAAGGATGTTTACATTCCTTGTGACAGCAATAAAAGAGATTAAAAAAAAAAAAAAAATTAAGCAACCGTGTAAAAAAATAAAATGAATAATTAAAAATAGAATTATAGTTCCCCTGTCCTCCTGTGTTCATGTGCAAAGGCAAATGCACGTGCTGGTCATACGACGAAAACACGCATGATGTCATATGACGAAATGCGTAGGGCGGGGCTTGACAGCACCACACTTGTCTCTTGTGAGGGTCTACAGACAATTGCAGTGTCCTAGGATTTTAAAGTGCCTGACACATGTTATACATGTAAGTGTAATTTTAACAGGAATATTACGCTATGGAAGCTATTTTTTTTTATGTTTTTCACGACGCTGGAGGAGTAGTGTGGATGGTCTGGAGTTTTTTCACATTTGGAGTCCGTAACCAGAGGATAGGAGCATCAAGATCACACAGACAGCAGCTGATTGCTGTAGTGGTGTGCTGAGGCACCAAACATGCATTTTTTTATTATTATTATTATTATTATTATTATACAGGATTTATATAGTACCAACAGTTTGCTCAGCGCTGTACATTATAATGGGAGACAGTACACGAGACAGTACAGTAACAATACAATTCAATACACGAGGGGTTCGAGGTCCCTGCTCCTTGGAGCTTACAATCTAGGAGGGAGGGGATAGTGGTACAGGAGGAGATATCTGTGGGGGATGGAGTGGTAGGAAGAGTGGAGGAGATTGGCAATTAGCTGAGGGCAGGGTAGGCTTCCCTGAAGAGATGGGTTTTCAGAGTGCGCCTAAAGGTGAGGAGAGTAGGTGATAGTCTGATGGATTTGGGTAGGGAGTTCCAGAAGATAGGGGAAGCCCTGGAGAAGTCCTGGAGGTGGGCATGGGAGGAGGAGACCAGAGAACTAGAGAGTAGGAGGTCTTGTGAGGAGCGGAGAGTACGTTTTGGGTGGTATTTGGATACCAGATCGGTATTTTATCCGTTGGGCAATCGGAAGCCAGTGGAGGGATTGGCAGAGGGGGGTGGCGGATATGGAGCAGTTAGTAAGGTGGATGAGTCTGGCTGCAGTATTCAGGATAGACTGAAGTGGGGATAGCCTGCGGTGAGGTAAGCCAGTGAGGAGGGAGTTACAGTAGTCAAGTCGTGAAATAATATGGGAGTGAATGAGTTGATTACTGGTTTCCGGGGTTAGGAACGGACGTATTTTGGAGATGTTGCGGAGGTGAAGTCTACATGAGTTTGTCAGCGATTGGACCTGGGGCTGGAAAGACAGATTGGAGTCAAGGATGACACCTAGTACTCTGGCTTGCGGGGTGGGACTGATGGTGGCGTTGGTGGTCGTGATGGAGAAGTCGGGGGGGGCGCGAGCTGGGGGGAAAACTAGGAGCTCGGTTTTGGAAAGATTTAGTTTGAGGAAGTGGAGTGACATCCAATCCGATATGTCGTTCAGTAGGCTAGTGATACGGGCGGAGACTGAAGGGGTGAGGTGAGGGGTAGAGAGATAGATTTGCGTGTCGTCGGCATAGAGATGGTAGTTGAAGCCATGAGAGTGTATCAGCTGGCCAAGGGAGGAGGTGTAGATGGAGAAGAGAAGGGGCCCAAGGACAGAACCTTGAGGGACCCCAACAGAGAGGGGGAGTGAAGAGGAGGTGGCAGTGTTATAGGTAACACTGAAGGAGCGCTGTGATAGATAGGAAGAGAGATAGGAGAGAGCAGAGTCTCTGAGGCCAAGAGAGTGTGGTTTTTTAAGCTATTTTGACCTATCTATGCAGGTGGTCAACATTTTGTGGTGAGTAGGGCTCTAGAGGGGGAGCACCATGTGGAGCACTTAACACAAAGATCTTTATGGATAATAAGATTGATCACTGAATCACCTTGTTTCACATGTGTGGATGTAGAAAGTTTTTTCATATTGGAACTTTAAATATTTATATATGGAAAGTGGTGCACTGGGAATTTTTCAGATTTGCGTATTTGCACTGTATTTATGTATATTTACAGTATTATGTTTTGATTCAATTTGGGTACATTGGTGTCTTTGATTAGTACATCAAATGCACATTTTCTCACTAATATAGTACAAGTTATTAGCATTGGATTAAGCAAGCATGTTATATAGGAATGTCATTTTTTCCCCACTATAGGGACACATGGAGGCGCACTTTTTAAGGTTATATGTCTATATGATGTAATATAGAGGTCACATTCTATTGTGGGTCACCATCACGAATGGGTGGCTAATTTAATCACTAGTGGCAGCGCAGCATTTATTTATACGTTTGGTATTTACTTGTTTACTTGTTAACATCATCTTTTATATTTTACAAACAATTTGGTTATGTATTGTGCTTTTTTTGTGTTAAAAAAAATCCAAAAATTGCTTTTGAAAAACCACTGCACAAATACCATCTGAAATAAAAAAATTACAAAACACATTATTTTTTTCTCTTGGGCCTCTGTTTTAAAAAAAAAGATATAATGTTTCAGGGTTCTAAGCAGGGGCAGACTGACCATTCGAGAACTTGGGCACTGCCCGAGGGCCCGGGGTCAGTAGGGGGCCCCATGAAATGCCCCTGGTACCTTTTTATAGGCTTTTTTTGAGTGTGGACAAGGACAAAGGGGCCCCATGATCCCCTATTGCCCGAGAGCCCCATAAGTTGTCAGTCCGCCCCTCATTCTAAGTAATTTTATAGCAAAAAATACTGATTGTTACATGTGAACAAAAACATGCCAGAAATGTCCTGGACTAGAGGTGGTTAAACATTACAAATTATAGAGTAAAATTGTACTTTTTAACTACTGCAACACTGTTTTTAACCTGTTGCTGTCCAGCCGCAATGTTTTTACTGTGGCAGGGCGGCACTGCTGCGCAGAATCACGTTTTAAAACGTCATTCTGCAAAACAGTTATGGGGCACGCGCTAGGCACGCGACCGCCCTACCCACACCGCCGATCGCAGCCGCGGGTGTCAATCACCGGGTCCCAGCCGGTCATTAGTCATTACCCGCCAGGTCCTGGCAATTACTGGCAATCACTGACAGGGAGCTCCCTGTCAGTTCCGAGCACACTGATCCCGAGAGAGGAGTTTATCTCTCGGGATCAGTGTGTTCCTGTGAAGCACATACCCCCGCCCCCTAGTAAAACACTCCCCTCACACAGTTAACCCTTTGATTGCCTAAAAAAAGTTAACCCCTTCCTCCACAGTTCCATTAGTACAGTGTCAGTGGGTTTTTTTTTTTGCACTGATCATTGTATTGGTGTCACTGGGGATGTCAATGACCCCAAGTCAGTTCCCCCCCCCAGTGTCAGAATGTCTGCCACAGTCCCCCCATAAGTCGCTGATCGCCGCCATAAGTCGCTGATCGCCACCATAAGTCGCTGATTGCCGCCATTATTAGTATAAAAAAAAATTAAAAATCCAGTATATATACTGCCATTTGTATATACGCTATAACTTTCACGCAAACCAATTAATTTACACGTATTGGGATTTTTTTTAGCAAAGACATGTTGCAGAATACATTTTGGCCGAAATTTATGATGAAATTTTATTTTTATTTTTTTTTTCTGGACATGCTTTATAGCAAAAAACTCCAAAATATTGTTTTTTTTCTCAAAATTGTCAGCCTTTTTTTTATAGCGCAAAAAATAAAAACCGCACAGGCGATCAAATACCACCGAAAGAAAGCTCAATTTGTGGGAAAAAAGGACGTAAAATTAATTTGGGTGCAGTGTTACATGACCCGCGCAATTATCAGTTAAAGCAACGCAGCGAAGTAACACAAACCGTTTCTGTAACCGCTTCTTGACTGCCCTATAGCAGAATTACTGCTACAGGGCGGCATGGGTGCACAAAATCACATATACAGTGGGGATCGAAAGTTTGGGCACCCCAGCTAAAAATTTGTAA